AGAAACTGGAACTCAGTGTGTAAAGGATGAGAACTGTCAGCAAMAAATGATCTAGTTTTCCTGATGATCTGTCTATTAAACAATTCTGTAAGTGAGCATTGTTGAACTCCTATGATCCAATGATCTAGGCTAAATAAGGTGTAGTTATTWTAAAGTAAATATACCTCTAACTAGCTGAGGCTTTGACCTTCCTGACATTAAAAGATTGACTCACCATGACCATAAGTGAAAGTAGCTTTTTAGTGGAAAGTGTTTTACCTATAAGCTACCAATGGCAAATATCTCCTGTTTGACTTGGTGAGCTGCACAGCAGGTTGCTTCAGTCCTCAATGTCACTGCAATTCTGCCCTCATTTGCTACAAAAGTAAATGACATTTCTATGCTGCTTGCTTCTTCCCTAGTGGTTGGTAAAATGGCACCCTGAATTATTTCCACATTTACCACTTTTAATTGAGCAGCCATGTGCCCCAGAAAGCGTGTCCCGTCCCCCCCGCCACTAAAGCTTCATGGTTTTCCATGTGCTCCATGGARATCTGTGGGTTGAGGAGTCTTTTATCGGCAGGGCTAAATGTCTGGCCGTGATCTGAACTGACTACTGTAGGAAGGTTAATTGAATCAGTAATCTATTAACACTTTGCCCTCAATTTCTTACTTAATCAAATGCTGAGCAACTGTGTACATCAACTGGCTGAGAGCTAGTATAAATCAAATTGCTAAAATTAGCTGCACGTTACTGTTTTTTAAAAAAAGACAAACTGCCTTTTACATACGGGATTCGATTTACTCAGCTTCCAATACTGTAAAGCAAATTTTAGAAAGCAGTATTTAAATACTTTAGGTTAGAAAGTTATGCAGAAGACAACTCGAAAAGAGGTCACATCYTTGCAAAAAGGCAGCCTGGAAGCTGCTGAGCTATCAGTACAGTAAGCCCCAACTCACTGACAGACAGGAAGAAGTGGCTTGACACAGAGTGTCAGGGCAGCAAATAAATGTTTGATTGGGAAAGTGGGACTGAAGAAAGGAAGCATGCACAGGCGGACAGGCTGACACCAGCCAGATAATGGAGCTGCCACAGCCTGTCCCACATTATATCTCACCTAAGCAAAACACAATCACAAGAAAATATATCCATTTCCACGAGCGCTCTCGGTACACAAATCAGAACACACAAACACAGACATGTCTCAGACACTCACTATTGGTGTTGAGCTCAAGATGGGAGTGAGACAGGTGAGGGAAAAAACAGCAGCTTGTTGGACAGGGGTGAGAAGAGCAGACTTTATTGATTGGAGGTAAACGTATAGGGGTTCCACTTAAAAACCACCCCACCTCTCCCTCRCCATGTACTTGTAATCTCCTCTGTAAGCTCCGAGAGCCAGGCTGTAATTTGATAAATCGCTAGGCTGAGATGAAGTGACAATTGGCTTGACAACATGGGAGTCTCTCATGCTCTGACACCAAATGATCTGATTTTTCTTTATGTCACTTTAGGGCCCTTCCTAAGGCCTGGTGTTAAATGACATATTCAGGATTTGTTTGCCAGCAGAGCAGCAACATCAAGGGCATCATGCAAACTGACACGGTAAGTGAGCACTTTGAAAGGTCCACAGCTTAAATGAGACTGAAATAAATAAAAGTGACCTACCACCTTCAAACAGTTGTCTGGATTAGTTATTAAAGATGATGTCYTGTTTTTTTTTCAATTTCACAAAACTTAAATAAAATTCATCCTTATGGGTAAAAAAAATAAATGTGGTTTTGGATTATTTACATTTTTTAAAGTAAATAAATTATCTCTGCATCTGTACAGGAACTCTTGAGACACTGAGTTCATGGGAGGATGAAGGTGAGTGAGATTAAACATGGCAGTGCCCAGC